AATAATTGTTTTATAGTCCGAATTCAGCAAACGCATGTACAACAAATTTATCACAAACAAAAGGTTTAGATACATTAGACAGTTCCGAAAGTTTTGAAAATGAAAGTGGAATTCAAACTGGGTTTTCTTTGTCTACTTCTTTAGCAATGACCTCAGATTTAACAAGTCCAGATGTTCCTTCAATCAATTTCAACTCGGTTATATCAAAAGAGAATACAAGTTCTACAATTATTTTAGCAAATGATAAAACTATAGAAAATACTAAACTCTCAACATTTAGTCTCGATTTAACCGAATCTGTTAATCATATTGATCAAGAAGAATCTATTTGTAATCAATGGTATTATTAAAATTTATTCTCTTTTCAATTTTTCATTTTTTTATTATATATTGTTATATTATATATTTTTAATTAAATTTAATTTAAAAAAATCTTCAAAAATACAAAATATTTCATTTTTTATATATATTTATTATATAATATTATATAATATTGATATATGTATTGATATTGATGTATGTTAATATACTATTAACATATAATCAGATATATGTATATGTTATATATTTTTTTTATTTTGGAAGATTATTATATTTTAGTGTACAAGCTTAATATATTTTTAAGTAATATAATTATTATATAATTATATAATTAATTATATAATAATAATTTAACGATTTAATATATTTATTTTGATAGGAAAACAAGGAGAAAAATAGAAGACTATTCAAATGATATTAGTAATGGAATCAATAACATTACTTCTGGAATTTCAAAAATAGGTATTGGTGGCAGTCTTCAACAGCCACCTACTAGATATTTAACTAAGGAAGGAGAATGCTCAATACAATCATGTTTAAATCAATTTACAGCTCTAGAATTGATGAGTGGTAGCAACAAAGTCAGTTGTGAAGCTTGTACTGCCAATGAAAAAAAGGTATATTTTATATAATTATAAATTTAAGAAAATTTATAAAAAAAATTATTTTTTTAAGTAATTAAAAATTAATATATATTTAATAATAAAATAATTAATAATATAAAATAGAAAAATAATATTTTAGAATTTTTTATATCACGATTTTAAAAATTCAAATATTGTGCATTAAATATTCAAATATATAAAAATAATTTAAAATAATTATATAAAAAAATTATAACGTTTTGAATATAATAATAATATGTTATAAATTGTTCATATTACTAGATAAAACAGAATTGTAAGATGGTATGCACTCCAAGTACAAAACAGTATTTGATCTCTCGCGTACCTGCGGTTTTAATTCTCCATTTAAAACGATTTCAAGCTCAACGAGTTGATTTTCGAAAAGTAACAAGACATGTTTCATTTCCAATACTACTCGATCTAGCACCTATATGTAAGAATCATAAAAAAGCTAGAATTTATGCACTGTATGGAGTTGTTGAACATAGCGGAACTATCCATGGTGGACATTATGTTGCTTACATAAAGGTAATTATTTAAATATGAAGAATTTATTATAAAAAAATACATATATATATTATATTTATTTATTTATTATATGTATATATATATATATATATATATATATATATATATATAGTAGT